TGGCATACACAAAGCATCAGAGCAAAATAGAAATATGGAATCATTACATCTCAGAAGCAGAGTTTACCGACCCATCCTCAAATGATTGCTCTCTGGAAAGGCATCTTAGTTTCTCAGATGGCAAAGAGGTTTTATGCACACTGGCTGGAGCCATAGCACAGCGGGTAAGGCATTTGCCTTGCATGCAGCCAACCTGGGTCTGATTCCTCTGCCCCTCTCAGAGAGCCCGGCAAGCTACCGAGAGTATCTCGCCCACACGGCAAAGCCTGGCAAGCTACCCGTGACATATTCAATATGCCAAAAACAGTAACAACAAGTCTCACAATTTGTTGTGAGATGTTACTAGTGTCCGCTCAAGCAAATCGATGAACAGCGGGAGTGTTCATCAATGAACAGTGCTAGACAGTGCTAGATTAGAATCACAGGATGGAGCCAGACCTGTAATGAAGGTCAAGCACTTGCCCTGCTTGTGACAAGCCCTGGTGCTTCCATCCCTGGGCTCTACCTGCAGCAGCCCTGAGCATAGAGCTGGGAGTAGCTCCCAAGACTGCTGGGTATGGCCCACCCTCCCCACCCTCCAAATATGAAATTGAGAAAGAGGAATTATTGAAATTATCTGCAGTAGGGGCTGGAGAGATAGCTGAAGGGGCTCAACGCATGTTTTGCATGTAGGAGGCCTGGGTTCAGTTCATTATATGCTCCATTATGTGCTACTTAAAGTAGAAACTACTAAGTTGTTTTATTTAGAGCTACAAAATTTCAGCTAGAAATGGCCCATCCACTTACAGGCTTTATATCACGACTGACTCTCTCTGGTTCACTGCCCTTGGAATCTCAGTAATTCACCTGGGAAATAGTGCCGGAGCTCCTGTGCAGACAGATGCCTGGATAAAATGTATTCTCCAGATTACAACTACTGAAGGCTCCCTGTTAAAGAAGAAAATAGAGAAATATTTCCCCCTTTTTTGTGTATTCTAAAATGCCACTGTATATGCTTGCATAAAATGTATTTGTCAAGTATTCTAATGTCATTTCCTCAGTCTTTATTTTTTTTTTATTAAAATAACTTTTTTCGGATTGCATTCATCTGAGGGACATAAAGTAACAAAATAGGAGATTAATACCCAAGAATAGCCGAGATCAGTACCAAGAGGATTACTCCATGGCTTAGAGGCCAGCCTGGCATTTTAGGGAAAAGGGCAGCTCAGATAGAGAAGGGAGCACCAAATGAAGGGTGTTGGGAGGATCCTCCCAGGAGGGGAGATGCATGTTGAAAGTAGTCTGTGGACTGAACATGATTGCCACTCAGTGCCTCTTTTGCAGACCACAACACCCAAAAGGAGAGAGAGAACAAGGGGGAATGCCCTGCCACAGAGGCAGGGTGGGATGGGGGGTATGTGTGTGGGAGGGATACTGGGATCCATGGTGGTGGAAAATGGGCACTGGTAGAGAGATGGGTACTTGATCATTTTATAATTGAAAGCACAAAAATTTGTAAATCTACAACTGTACCTCATGGTGTTTCACTAATAAAAATAAAATAATAATAATAATAATAACTATTTTCCCCACAAGTGACCCCTGAGCACAGATCCAGGAGTTGCCCCCCAAGTACTGCAGGTTTTAATCCCCCCTCAAAACTCTCCTAAATAAAATATTTTATTCCTTTATTATTGGTGTCAGGGAGTGCATGTTTGAACCAAGTCAGTGGTGCCAAGGGCCAAAGTAGGGTTGGCAGTATACAGGCAAGTACCTTAACTCCTGTGCTGTTCAGAAGATATGTACCTGGACACAGGATAACCCCATGATCACTGTTTGGACACTCAGTGGTCCACGTGTCCTCATTTGTAATGCGTATATCTTGGGGATAGAAGATGAACCAGAGTGGATATTGCTTTCAAGGAGCTTAATTTCCTTGTAGGTCTTATCTATAACTTGGATTAAAATAACTTTAAATGTAGTTTCCCTACCCCTCCTTTGGGTTTTAAAATATGGTTGAAAAACTCCTTTTTGGGGAGCTGGAATGATAGCACATCAAGTAGCGTGTTTGCCTTGCACGTGGCCAACCCAGGTTCGATTCCCTGCATTCCGAGTATTGCCAGGAGTAATTCCTGACTGCATGAGCCAGGAGTAACCCCTGTGCATCACCGGGTGTGACCCAAAAAACAAAAATAAAAACCAAAATAAAAACCTTCTTTTTGGTTTTGGAATCACACCTAAATGTGCTCAGGGCTTACTCCTGGCTCTGTGCTCAGATATCACTCCTGGTTGGGGCTTGGGGAACCATATGTGGTGCCAGGAGTTGAACCCAGGACATCCCCACCCAAGGCAAGCTCCTTACTTACTCTACTTAGTCTCTGGTCCTGAAAAAAAAATATTTTTTGAGAAAAAATTTAGGGGATGATAAGTAGAAAAGGTAAGAAAACTATCTAGATCAATTGGGAATGAGGGTGAGGTTGAGGGCACACCATTGATATCCAGGGTTACTCCTGATTTTACCCAGGGATGACTCCAGGCCTGGAGGACTACGTAGGATGCCAGGAATTAAACTCAAGTCAGCTGCGTGCAAGGCATATACTATCTCTTTAGCCCCCATAAATAAATAAACTTTGGATTCAGACTGATGGTTGAGTCATTTCCACTTCTAGGACTGTTTGTGAGTTTTTCATATCTAGATCTAGAAAATGGGCATAGAGAAAGGAGAGTTCGGTATGAGTTTATAGATGTCTCCTAGGTCATTTTGAGTTGTAAGTAACTAAAATTAGTATATGTTGGGTAGCTGGATTCTTAAATGTTTATCATTACCTGTATTGGAAGAACCTAATGGGATAGGAATTGTACCATGCTTAAAATACAAAACAAGGGGCTGAAGCAATAGTACAGCAGGTAGAGTATTTGCCTTGCATGTGGCCAGCCTGGGTTCAATCCCCAATACTACATATGGCCCCTAAGCTTGCCAAGAGTGATGCCTGAGCTCAGAGCCAGGCGTAATCCCTGTGCACTGTTAGGTGTGGTCCAAAAACAACAACAACAACATTTTTTTTTAAAACCCTATTCTTGGTATCCTAAAGTCTGAGTTTTATTACATAACTCATTTAAAAACTAAATAATTTACAAAATTGGATTTTTTCACCATTGTAATTGTGATAACTATTGTAATCTATATTTTTAAAGTGGGTTTATTTTTGTTTTGTTTTGTTTTGTTTTGGGGCCTCACCCAATGGTTCTCAGGGCTTGCTCCAGGCTCACTCAGAAGTCACTGCTTGTGGTACTATGAGGTACTAGAGATCAAACTCCTCTCAACAGTAGCCCTGCCGACTCAGCTATTTCTCCAGCCCCTAGTGGGGGTCTCTTGTAGGCGACTTATTATTGTGTCTTATTTTAAAGTCTAACATTCTGCCTTTTAGCAAGCATATTTAGACCATTCATACGTAATATAATAATTTATATATTTGGATTAAGCATCTTGCGGCCTATTCTTATTCCATCTGTTTTTAGTTGTTTTTCCTTTTGAGTTAATTAAGAATTTTTTTATGATTTCAGTTTATACGGTTGGCTTATTTATAACTTCTCTCTTTAGTGATTGGGGTCTTGGGGGGTGGCCCTCCCAAGTGGTGCTCAGGGGCAAGGGGGCCCACCTCGCAATACTTGGCCACCTGAACAGTTGAACAAAGGACTGCTACAACCCTGCAGTGCTGGGATTACCCAGGCCACCTCAGCCAGGCTGGGGTAATCAATGATTTTTAACAGTATTGGGGATCTAAGTAGCCAGCACCCTTATATGTGTAAAAGTATATGTTTTACCACTGAGATGTATCTGGCTCTCATAGCTCTATTTCTTTCTTTTTTAAAATTAATTATTTTGGGGGGGTGCAGAGCAATAGTACAGAGGGTAGGGCATTTGCCTTGCATGCGGCCAACCCAGGTTCGAACCCCAGCATCCCATATGGTCCTCCCAGCACCACCAGGAGTAATTCCTGAATGCAGAGCCAGGAGTAACTCCTGAGCATCACTGGGTATGACCCAAAAAGCAAAAACTAAATAAATATATACAAATAATTTTTTTTAGGAAGGGAGGGAGGGGAGTACCTATGACTTTGCCCTGCTCTTGCTATGGAAATACAGGACAAGTGTCCTTCCACTGTACTATCTCTCTGCCCCCACACCCGATGTACTTCTGTGATAGAGATAATATTTTACTATCTTCTAGTGAGTGTAGTTTCCAGTAAGAACCCTGCTATAGTTCTGTGTTCTATTCTGTTTGAACTGCACCCATTGGTGCTGGGTGGGAGGCTTCCCCCTGACTGGGGACTCAGGACTGTGGTGCCAGGGATCAAACCCAGGCCTCCAGCATGCCACACATGTGTATGGGCCTTTGAGATATCTTCCTGGCCCCAAATTTTATCAATCTTTCTTGGTTGGGAGGGCGCCAGTGCTGGGGACCAAACTGGGCCCCGCAGTCAAGTTTTCTGCCACTGACTTACATTCTTGACCGTTATGGATTTTATCTTTGTCCCTGAGTCTACCCTGTGTGTTTTATCTCAGGGCTGTCTTTAGGATTTTATCTTTCTTCTTTGTTTTCAGAAACTTGAATATGGTGTGTGTAGGTATGAAATTTTTGTTTTACTTTTGTATTTGTCCAAAGGGACATATATATTGAAGTCATATAAATTGAAATCCTACTCTTATCAAGTATACTGATGATGCCATTCGAAGCATTTTTCATGAGGCCAGAGAGAACACTGGGTAGGGTTCAATTCCCGGAATCCCTTGCACACCGCAGGAGTGATTTCCTGAGTGCAGAGACAGAAGTTACCTATGAGCATTGCTAGTGTATCCTTGGGTGAGGGGGAAACAGCATTTTTCCAGCTCTGTTTCAGTATATTTAGTATTTCAACTTAGTTGTTCTTCTCTGTAGCACTTTGTTAAGTACAGCAGCTACACAGAACAAGATCATGATTCTGCCCGTTGTTATTATAATGCCTCTTTCCTATATCTAGGTCCGAGATAGCCCTTTGACTCAGAAATCAACAAGAGCTGTTCCAAAGTAGAAGGATGTAGGGAATACACGCTAATTGACCGGTGAGCAGGAAGTGCTGAGAGCCGGATCAAGACCGCTGAGCAATGACGCGCTTTGCATGCTGTGCCCAGGTCTGACTTGATTAGGTAAGGGGTCTTCTAACTCTGGTTTTCTCTCTATTACTTAGCAAAACCATCAAAGAAACTATAAATTTAAGTTTTGTATACTGAGATAACCAGTGATAATCCCTTAAAAATCCTAAACGAAGTTAATGTGAGTTGCTTTCATGGATTTTTTATTTTTATATGGGTGATGGGTCCTGCTTATGGCATCTTTGAGACATTCAGCTTATAGAACTTCTGAAGGGCCTATTTTTCTGTAACTATTTTATCTATGTTTTATCTATTTATCTATTGTGTCTTTTTTTAATCTCTATTCAGCCCTAGTTATACACTTATTTGTTCATTTATTATGCCTCTTACTAAGACTGTTTTTGTGTGTTTGTTTTTGTTTTTTGGGTCATACCCGGCACTTCTCAGAGCTTAGTCCTGGCTCTGTGCTTAGTGATTATTACTGGCTTGGAGGCCTATATAGGGTGCTGGGAATCAAATTTGGGTCAGCCACGTGCAAGGCAATTGCCCTATCCACTGTATTATCACTCAGGCCTCTGGCCCCTCGTTTTAAAGCCTGCTATCTCAGAGTTATTCTATTACATTTGTTAATGGTTAACAAAGATTTTTTTTTTTTAAGTTCTCTCCAGGAGCTGGAAAACTTCCCGCTGAGCTGATAGGAATTGTGGTTAGGACTAGTGACGCCTGCGCCTGTAGAACTCTTGAGGGTGGGGTGATCAGTGGGAGGGGAGTTTGTTCAGTGCTTTGTAGAAGAGGTGGAATCGTAAGTGAGGAGTGGGTTTGGGCCACCCCTGGCTGTGCTCAGGGATTGCGCCTGCTGCTTAGGGTGTGCTGAGGATCAAATTAGGTTGCCTCAAGTGCCTTAACTTAACCCCATGCTCTCTCTCCAGCCTTAAATAGATTTTTTTTGGGGGGGGGCATCCCTGGCAGTGCTCAGGGCTCCTGGCAGTGGACTCAGGAATCAATCCTAATGGGGCCTGGGGGCCATATCGGGTGTCAGGGATTGAACCCAGACTGGCTGCATGCAAGGCAGACGCTCTTCCTGCTGTATTATCACTCTGGCCCCTTTAGATGGATTTTCAAAGGGCAATACAGGGATCTCTAGAAGGAGGGAGATGATGGTAGCATTCTAACCTCAGCCAACAGCTAACACAGACTCTCAGTTGGGTGAAGTATTTATTAAGGTTTTTTTTTTCTTTGCTTGCATTTTTCAGTTTTCTTCAACCACACCCATCTTTGAACTCAGGGATTGTTCCTGGTGGCCCTCAGGGCTCTGTGTGGTGCTGGGGATCCTACTTGCAAGGCGTTTGCTCAGCCCATCGAGCAATAGCTCAGACCTCCAAGATTTACACTTTGTTCCTTTCAGAATCTTCCTGCCTGCCTGCCTGCCTTTCCTTCTGTCTTTTAGTAGAGACAGAGAGATACAGAGGAGAGAACCCTATAAAAGTAAAACAAATAACATGCCCCAGTTGTTATGCCGGCAGCCCCTAAGTGGAATGTGTCTGTTTCTCTTTCCTCCTCTTTTACAGTAGCATAGATAAGAACCTTCCAGGACCCGTTTGGGAGAGTTGGCCTGTCAGCCCACTCTGTGCTCTGGACCGTGGTTTGCATCATCAGTATCTTACGAACTTCTCTCATCTCCTTCCTACCTAACAAAGATGTGCTTTTATTTTATTTTATTTTATTTGCTTTTTGGGTCATACCCAGTGATGCACAGGGGTTACTCCTGGCTTTGCACTCAGGAATTACTCTGGTGGTACTCAGGGGACCATATGGGATGCTGGGACTCAAACCCGGGTTGGCTGCCTGCAAGGCGAACACCCTACCCACTATGCTATCACTCCAGCCCCCAAGGGTGTGCTTTTAGAAGACTTATATTTTCTTTCTTTTTAAAAAAATTTTTATTAAATAGCCATGATTTACAAAGTTACATATAGTTGCATTTAGGCAACTACAATAATTCAACACCAGTCCCTCCACCAGTGTCAACTTCCTTCCACCAGTGTTCCCAGACTCCCTCTCAACCCCACCCCTCCCTCCACCCTCACCTGTCAACTTGACAGGCACATTATAAAGTTTCATTGGTTTCTGCTTAGATCTCATAAAAGACATATAATATTTCTGCCCTAGTTAACCCTTTAAGTTTTCTACAATTAAAAACATTTTTGGTTTGGGGCCACACCCAGCAGTGTGCTCAGGGCTTATTTCTGGGACCTGAGCCTTAGTCTCTGATGGAGTGCAGGAAACCGTATGGGGTACCAGGGATCGAACTCTCGTGTACAAGACAAAACTCCCTACCCACTCTACTGTTATTCTGGCCCCAAAACCCAAATCAGTGCACTGTAACACTGTCCTCCCATTGTTCATCGATTTGCTCGAGCAGGCCCAGTAACGTCTCCATTTTGAGACTTGTTGTTACTGTGTTTGGCATATTGAATACATCACGGGTAGCTTGCCAGGCTTTGCCGTGCGGGCGAGAAACTCTCGGTAGTCTGCCGGGCTCTCTGAGAGGGACAGAGAAATCGAACCTGGCTTGGCCAGGCCTCCTGTGCGCAAGGCAAACACCCTACCTGCTGTGCTATCACTCCAGCCCAACTTTTAAAATTTCTGGCCCCACTTTTAAATGTTTTTCATTTTTGTTTTGATCCACAGCTGGTGGTGCTTAGGTGTTGCTCCCGGATCTGCACTGGGGGATCACTCCTGGTGGACTCAGGGGACCATATGCGGTACCAGGGGTTGAATCCGGGTTGTTTGCATGCAAGGCAAACACTTTACTTGCTCTGCTTATCACTCCAGCCCTTTCATTTTTATTTTTTAAAAAGTTTATTATTTACTCACTCTTTTCTTTTTTCTGTTTATCTTCATCACCTTAGTAGGTTATTTAAAAAGCATTCTTACACCACAGCAGAGTCCTTGTTTAAGGAGTTACAGGTAGGAGGGAGAGGTGAATGATTAGGACTAAGTTGGTTCTGTAGAATATTTGGGAGTAAAAATCCTGCAAAGAAGACAATCCGTATCATATAAAAAAAGAGGGGACAGGTCACCTGATACCTTTCCTCAAGGAAAAACTAGAAGAGAGAGAGAGAGAGAGAAGATGAAGGAGGATCCCTGGTGGTTTTTATTTGGAGGTAGTCCTATATCCAGTGCATTATTTATTTTGGCTTGGCTGTTTATGACCGAGTCTGGTAAAGATACATAAGGCCCAAGTAAGGAGAATAAAAGTGTAAGACGTCTGCCCCCAAGCAGAATTTCTTTTCTTTGTCCTGATTAAGTAAGATTGCTAAATGTGTGAGAACTAAGAATGAACTAGCTGACCCTGGTATTTTCTCTGGGCTAGGACACCGAAGCATCCATCTGCAGAAATGTCTTCAGAAAATAAAGAACGACATGACCACAAGGACTTGGTTGAAGAAAATGACCAAAGCAGTCCTCCATCTGGGGTCCATCTGGAACTTGAAATGACTTCTAGAACTGACTTCCAGCAATCTGAGGTCAATAACCAATATAGACCTCGTCCTCGGATCCACTTGGAGCCTCAAGAGAAATCAGATACCACTTGCAGTCAGTTTGTCATCAGGAAAATACGGAAGAGTTGCCAGTGCAATGCATCCAAAGCCAAAAAATCCATTTTGGGTTTCTTTCCTGTTTTGCAGTGGCTTCCAAAATACAACTTAAAGAACAACATCATAGGGGATGTGATGTCTGGCCTGATTGTGGGCATTTTGTTGGTGCCCCAATCCATTGCATATTCCCTCTTGGCTGGCCAGCAACCTATCTATGGTCTGTACACATCCTTTTTTGCCAGCATCATTTATTTCCTGTTAGGTACCTCCCGTCACATCTCTGTGGGCATTTTTGGAATACTGTGCCTTATGATTGGTGAGGTAGTTGAGCGAGAACTTCACAAAGCTGGCTATGACACAAAGCTGGCCCAGACTCCTGCTCTGTTAGAAATGGTTTCGAATGGAAGCACAATGAACGAGTTACCAGATGAGATATGTGACAAAAATTGCTATGCAATTACAGTTGGCACCACTGTAACCTTTATGGCCGGAGTTTATCAGGTAAGGAATAATGAAGCAAGCAAAGGAAATATGCATAATATCAGCTCTCGGAGGGCTCTCAGGGATCGTAATCAAAGTTACCTTCATTGAATGCTCAGGACATAGGAATGGTAGAGCCAAAATTCAAAACCGTGGTCTGACTCCACGGGTAAGATAAGTGTACTACTTCTCCTAGCCTATGGATTTCAGTCAGCTACATTTTAATTATTTGGCGATAAAAGTTTAGAACAGAAAGTTGCTTCAGATCCAATATACCCCAAGTACCTCGTAATGGTACATGTCCAGCATCCTTGGTTTGCCTCAGTTTATGTGTGGTTGCCTAATGGCAACATGAGCAGTAACGGTAAGAAAAGAGTACAGTGGAATGAAGGCTGAGAGTTCTCTCTGTTGGGGGCCTCTTGCCTTTGTTTTGGAGCCACACCTTGTGCTGTGGGGGTTGCTCCCAGCTCAGTGCTCAGGCATCTTCTGGCAGTGCTTAGGGAACCTAAATTTAATGCCAGAGCCAGACTGGGCCAAGTATTTGCTCCACCCTGTTGAGCTATAATTCTAGCATCTAGTGAGTGACTTTTTTTTTTTTGGTGATAGTGATTAGTGGGGGGCAAATGGGGAGAGGGTTGGCACAGCCTGTGATGCTTGGGGGCAACTCCCAGCTCTGTGCTCAGGGGTTATGCCTAATCGTTCTTAGAGGATCCCTTGCTGCTAAGCATCATACTCAAGCCTCCTGCATGCAAAGGGCATGTGGTTAGCCCATTGAACCATTTCTCCAGCCTAGGTGAATGACTCCTACTAAATACAGTTTTCTTGGATTGTTGGGGAGGGAACTGCCAAGAGAAATGAAATTCTGGGCTGGAGATATAAATCATTGATAGAGCACTTGCTTTGCATGTATGAGGTTCTAAGTTCAATCCTGATATAGTGGGGGAAAAGAAAAATATGGGAGGGAAGGGCAGGGAGAGGCAGGGAATAAAGGGACAGGAAGTTGCATCTCCCAGGGACTATACTAATCTGCTATTTCTTATCATATGCTGCCCTTATGGCCTCTCAGAGTCCTATCAGCATTAAAATTCTGTCGCAGACATTGGGTCCCAAGATGGGAAAGGAAGAAGAAGCTCACAGTGATGGTACTGGGATGAAGAGAGAGAGAAGGGGATGGTGTGCAGACAGTGTTGGTATGTCTTGCCAGCATTAATGAACAGCACAATAGAATATGAGGAACTGGAAAGAGAAAAATAAATAAAAGTTGGACCTTAGAACACTACTATGTAAATAGTGTGTCATAAACACTATATACTGAGTGAGAATAGTTTCTCATGTGAGATTCATTTGTTTGTTTTTGGGTCACACTCAGGATGCTAAGGAGTTACTCCTGGCTCTTCACTCAGGAATCACTCCTGGCAGTGTTTGGGGGAGCATATGGGATGCTGGGTATTGAACTGGAGTCAGCCACATGGAAGGCACATGTTCTACCTACTGTACTATTGCCCTGACCTCTGTAGTAGTAATTCTTGATTTAAAGAAAATATGATTTTGTAATGCAGAGAATTTTAAAAGGTATTTTTATGATATCCATGGATTTTTTTTTTTTGCTTTTTGGGTCACACCTGCCAATGCTCAGGGTTTACTCCTGGCTCTGCACTCAGGAGTTATTCCTGGCGGTGCTCAGGGGACCATATGGGGTGCTGGAGATCGAACCTGGGTCGGCCGCATGCAAGGCAAACGCCTACCCACTGTGCTATCACTCCAGCCCCAATGATATCCATGGATTCTTGAGAACATTCTTTTTAAAGGCTTTCTGAATCTTACTCAGGGTTAGAAAACATTGTCCAAGAAGGTAAAAATAGAGCTAAAGCAATAGTATAGCAGTAGGGTGTTTGCCTTGCACACAGCCAACTTGAGTTTGATCCTCAGCATCCCATGTTCACCTGAGCACCACCAGGAGTAATTCCTGAGTGCAGATCCAGGAAGAACCCCTTAGCATCACCGGGTGTGACCCAAAAAGAAAAAAAAAGGTATAAATCTAATTTTTTTTGTCTCAGCTGGGCTTATGAGTAATAGTGTGACCTTGGGGAAACTGTCCATCTGAGTATCAGTAGACTGAGAAGATTGTTCTCTGAACATGCTTTTCCTTGTTCAGACTCTGTGATGAACAATATGCAACAATATGTGCTGTTCATATTGTTCAAAAGCAAATTCACGATACACCTTCAGACAGAGGAATGCTATGGTAATGCAGAATATAGATGCCCTCTGCTATGTATTAACACATGTGCATCTTTCCTTCCAGGTAGTAATGGGCCTCTTTCAAGTGGGCTTTATTTCCGTCTACCTCTCAGATGCTTTGCTGAGTGGATTTGTCACCGGTGCCTCCTTCACAATCCTCACATCGCAGGCCAAGTATCTCCTTGGGCTCAAAATTCCTCGGAGTAGTGGTGTGGGTTCATTGATCATGACGTGGATACACATCTTCCGAAATATCCATCAGACCAATATCTGTGACCTCATCACCAGCCTTGTGTGCCTTCTGGTTCTTGTGCCAACCAAAGAACTAAACGATCACTTTAAGTCAAAGTTTAAGGCACCAATTCCCACCGAGCTCATCGTCGTGGTGGGCGCCACCCTGGCCTCTCATTTTGGTGAACTCAATGCGAAATACAACAGCAGCATTTCTGGGCACATTCCCACGGGATTCATGCCACCCAAAGCACCAGACTGGAGCTTAATTCCCAGCGTGGCCGCGGATGCTGTAGCTATTTCTATCATTGGCTTTGCCATCACAGTGTCACTTTCCGAGATGTTTGCCAAGAAACATGGGTACACAGTGAGAGCTAATCAAGAAATGTTTGCCATAGGCTTCTGCAACATCATCCCATCCTTCTTCCACTGCTTCACAACCAGCGCAGCTCTGGCCAAGACCCTGGTCAAGGAATCAACCGGCTGCCAGACTCAGCTCTCAGGGGTGGTGACAGCCCTGGTCCTTCTGCTGGTGCTCCTTGTGATAGCTCCTCTGTTTTATTCCCTTCAGAAATGTGTCCTCGGTGTGATCACGATTGTAAATATCCGGGGTGCCCTGCTCAAGTTCCGGGATGTGCCCAAGATGTGGCGCGTGAGCAGAATGGACACGGTCATCTGGTTCGTGACAATGCTGTCCTCCGCACTGCTGAGCACTGAACTAGGCCTGCTCACAGGGGTTTGTTTTTCCATGTTTTGCGTCATTCTCCGCACTCAGAAGCCAAAAGCTTCACTTCTTGGCTTGGTGGATAAGTCAGAAATCTTTGAATCCGTATCTGCTTATAAGAATCTCCAGACGAAGCCAGGGATCAAGATTTTTCGCTTTGAAGCCCCTCTCTACTACATAAACAAAGAACATTTTAAATCTGTTTTATACTCAAAAACTCTCAACCCAGTCTTGGACATGGCGGCTCGAATGAAATCAGCAAAGAGAAAGGCGACACAGGAAATGGTAACTCTCAGTGCCCACCAGGATGAGGTTTCTGTGCATCTTTCCCTTGACCCCTTGGAGCTCCATACCATAGTGATTGACTGCAGTGCAATGCAGTTTGTAGATACGGCAGGAATCTCTGCACTGAAAGAAGTTCGCAGGGATTACGAGGCCATTGGCATCCAGGTTCTGCTGGCTCAGTGCAGTGCCTCGATGAAGGATTCCTTGGTCCATGGAGAATATTGCAAAAAAGAAGAGCAAGAAACCCTTCTCTTCTACAGTATTTATGAAGCAGTGACTTTCGCAGAAGAGTCTCAGAATCAGAAAGGAATATGTGTGTCTAATGGCCTGAATCTTTCCAATGATTGACCGAGAAGTAGACTGGAAAAAAGAATAATGTCCAGCCAACATATTGATGTCTCAAGGATGTGCGACATTTTCCACACTCGAAGGTTCACCCCACGGGCCATTCCTTTCTTTGAAGTGGATCAATAAATGAAGCAGAGTTTACCTTAGAATAAAACAAAGGCAACATTGAAACTCCTGGCTTGCTTTCAGACACAAGGAATTCTTGGCATGATAGATAAAGAGCCCTTGAACTAACTGAACTGAAAATCATCCTCCCGACTTTAGGTGATATGCATCTAGACTCTTCCTTCACTTGAGGTCAGGTGCTGGAGTCTTCTCCATGGTGGCTGCTTGTGGAAAGGGTACAGGGAAAGGATATTGTGCCTGCTAATATAGTCTTATACTCTCAGGACTGGAGGTTTCTGAAGCTCTGTGTGTGTGTGTGTGTGTGTGTGTGTGTGTGTGTGTGTGTGTGCGCGCGCGCGCGTGTATGCACGTGCACGTGCGTGTGTGCAGGCAGGGTTGGGGGTTGTGGGGAAGCAGACACATTGACTTGCTTCTCTACTGGAAGCCTTTGCAGTGCTCCCAGGAGCAGACCCCACTGCACGCCTCTCCTTAAGGAAGAGCCTTAGACTCAGTCGCCTCAGGAGTCTGAGCCCTGGGCAAGTCTGAAGTCCTGCCTACCAGCCTCATTTAATGTTTTTAATCATGCCTTTTTGTTTAGAGTAAGTAGGTAAGCAAAAAGCTCAGGAGTCAGCACAAATGATGGGAATCCTCTTTTCTGTGGTCTGTCTGTTTTGGGGATTATTTCTCAGCACTAAGCTCCATGTGGACCTTCAGCATATTTTCTCTGGGATCTGCTCTAAGGGACTGTCAGATTACCAGGGAAGAGCTTGCTAGATGAGCACCAGGGTAGTTGGAGACAACATTTTAAATGAGCTGAGGCAAACTGTGAAGGATGGATTGCAGAAAAGGAATGATTGATAAATTTGTTTATGTAGCAGTGAAGCGATGTTTTGTGGTTTTTTCGTCTCATAGCATTTGCACAGGGTAGACTGGGAGCAAACGGTTCTCTCAAATACAAACTTTACAAGAAAAAAATTTTGTAAGCGATAAAAAAATGCACACACGTGATAGAATACTTCCAGAAGAGTGTCAGTAATTGATTCATAGATGTTTAACTGAATGCAGAAGCAGTGCTGATCACCGTAAACCCCATGATGTACAATAAAGATTGATGACAGGGGCCAGAGAGATGTTGCAGTGGGTAAGGCACTTGCCTTACACATGTCCAAGCCAGGTTCAATCCTGACACCACATTAGATTTCCCGAACCACACCAGGAGTGATCTCTGAGTGCAGAGCCAGGGCTAACTCCTCAACACCACCAGGTTTGTCCCCCAAAACCATTGATGGCAGTGATAGCTTTTGACTCTTTGAGCCACTTCAAACTATTCCATGGAGAATTTAGAAACAGTGCATTTATACAAACCACGTTCTGTGGAGAATATCTCCCTTATGGTGGCTGGGACCAGAGAGACAGAGAGAGAGAGAGAGAGAGAGAGAGAGAGAGAGAGAGAGAGAGAGAGAGAGAGAGAAGAAAGAACAGGGAGTAAGGTGCTTGCCCTGCATTTGGCTGACCCATTCAATCCTCTGTATCAAATGGTGCCCCAAGAACTACTGGGAGTGAGCTCTGCAGGATGTGCACCCCCCTGCCAATAAGTAAAAAATTTTAAAACTGGCAGCTGGCAACAGGTTGGGCCTATAGCAGGTTTTGAAAAGCAAGGGTGTTTGACACTAAAAGCTTGTGATCTAGTTCTGTTTGGACTTTAATGCGGTGGGGGGGGGGGGGCTTCAAAAATTAAGGAAGAGGGGGAAACATTCAACGATACTATTTGAAACAAACCATAACTGCAAATATGTAGCAGTGTAGCACTGTCCTGGTTGTTCATCAGTTTGCTCAAATAGGCACCAGTAACATCTCACAACAAATTGTGAGACTTGTTGTTACTGTGTTTGGCATATCAAATGCACCACAGGTAGCTTGCCAGGCTTTGCCATGCGGGCGAGATACTCTCGGGAGCTTGCCGAGGTCTCCGAGAGGGGCGGAGGAATCGAACTCGGGTCGGCCATGCTGGCTGTGTGCAAGGCAAATGCCCTACCGCTGTGCTATCACTCCAGCCCAACTGCAAATATGTAAAGTTTCTTTTTTTTTTTTTTTGCTTTTTTTGGGTCACACCCGATGATGCACATGGGTTATTCCTGGCTCTACACTCGGGAGCCACTCCTGGCGGTGCTCAGGGGACCATATGGGATGCTGGGGATTGAACCCAGGTTGGCCGCATGCAAGGCAATTCTCCAGCCCCCTAAAGCCTTTTTTTTAACCTGCTAAACAATTTAAGGACTGAGAGAGGCAGAGCCATGTGTGGCTCATCTGCTGGGGACCACTTACACAGCTCCCAACTCCACTACAAGTGTTGCTTTTCTGTTGCTAGAGCTCAGACCATCTGTTCACATGAACTGTCTCTTTCTGTCATTCACACAAGGCAGTTTCCCAGCAGTCAAGTTGGATTTCCATCTCTGAGGTGTCTGACATCATGATGGAATGTAATAGTGTCCTAAATTTTGTGTTCTTTTAGAATGTGTTTGGAATTTTAGAAAAGTTGACTGTTTTTATATCTGTGAGTTTTGGGTGATTTTTAGCCAAATATGCCCTTTTATCAAGCTTCATAAATAGAAATAGACACTAACAGGGTTTTTTTTTCTTGTCATTTTGTTGTTGTTTTGTTGTTGTTGTCATTGCTGTTGGGGGCCTGTGGTGCTTGGGGGCGGGAGTCTTCTCCAGGCCAATGCTTGGAAGTTGCTCCTACATTCCATCCCTTTAAGCCAGTTCTGCCCCCTCCTCATTATTTGAATTCCTCTTGTCCCTACCCCAAGCCAGGTCTGGATTGAGACTATCATGACTGATCCCATAAGGAGACTAATGAACATAAGCGCCTCTATAATTTTGCAAACACTAGCAAAGGAAAAAACTGGTCCTGGGCTGCAGAGATAGTACAAGGGTAAAGGGGCTAAGGCACTTGCCTTGTGACCCTGGTTTGATCCCCAGCACATTTGATCCTCCCAAGCTCTGCTAGGAGTAAGCCCTGAGCACTCTTGGGTCTGGCCTAAAGACTATATATGTATGTGTGTGTGTGTGTGTGTGTGTGTGTGTGTGTGTGTGTGTGTGTATGTGTGTGTGTGTGTGTGATCAGTCCACAGAATTTTACCTTTTGTTGACGTTTCTGTTAATAGGTGAATATAAATAATTCTGAAGTATTATGCAATTAGTAGATTCTTTAATTGTGTTTCAGTTTGTGAACAACCAAATGAATGAGACCTTCTGTTTTTGGTAGCCATTTTTGATGGAAAAGAACAAACTAGAACCTTATACTCTGTGTCTGTACTTATACACTGCTGAAAACGTGTGCGGGTATTTAAAGGGATCAAACCTGAAACCAAAGCCTGATTCTCTGATAAAAGTGCTTCTATTTTCTTACTTAAGGACACGGACATGAGTTCACTAGGTGATATTTTATAGACTTTATTTATGCAGGAAATATCTTGCACTTTAAACTTTGAAGTCTTTTTTCATATTGCCTCTTAACAAGTATACTACAACACCCTGAGTACCTTAGAATCGTCATTTAATTGGAATGCACTGTGTACATACTTGGTGGTTAGTACTTTCACAACTGAACTTTTTAGAAAACTTGCCACAATCAGTTTGGTGGTGTGTACCAGCACACAGACTAAAGATGACCTTCTGGAGAGGTGATGGAACGAAATAGTGAAAATGCAGTTTGACCAAGCAGAGGAAAGAGGGACTCAGTGAATAGTGTCTTTCATCTAGATGTTGTGACACACTGTCGGTGCTCCTGGTGGTGACAAAAATGGCAGGTATCTAAGAAAGGCCAAAGGAAAACAAGGTTTGGATAGTCCAACTAAGCTTTTAAATAGTCCTAGATATTGAGGCCAAATTGTGTGGGGAATGGTAATCTTTAAGACTTTTAGGGTGTGGGGCCAGAACGATAGTACAGAGTGTAGGTACTTGCCTGGCACATAGTCAGCCGACCCAAGCTCCCTGGCATCTTGTATGGCCCCTTGATCCCTGTCAGGAGTTATCTGTGATCACAAGGCCAGCAAGAACTAAGCCCTGAGCACTGCCAGAGTGGCCCAAAAACCAAAACCCACTATTATATCTGCATTCTAATATGACAACATTTAACCCAAAGCAGTAATTTTCTGCAGAAATATTTTCTTAGTCATTTGCCATTTGAGAATGTCTTGTCAGGGTGCTGGTTCTGTTTTTAATACACAAGGAAGATCTGGGGTGTAGTAGATTTCATGTGAACTTCAATTCAGTCTTGACAAATCCAAGTTCTGTGGTCCTTATTAATATGACTTCCTCTCTGTATTGTTTTCCTCTCTGTAGTGCGAGGCATGAGGCATAAACTCTTTGATTAGTTTGGTTTGGGGGCCACACCTGGTGGTGCTCAGGGCTTACTCCTGACTCCGCCCTACAGTCAGGGATCACTCCTGGCATGCTCAGGGGACGAAATGGAGTTCTGAGGATCAAACCTGGATGAGTCACATGCAAGGCAAGAGCCTTATCCACTGTATTGTTTCTCCCTCGCCCCCCATAAGTTCTGACAATACCTCAGATGTGTTCCGAGGACCAATGCAGGAGTCTGGAGCCAAGCGTTGGGGCCGTGGTGCTAACCCCAGAAGCTGGGAAAGACTTTCTTTAACTTGGGCACTTAGGAGTTGCTTTGTGCAGAAGACTTGTGCTGAGCCCGGACTAACATCTGAGCAGGCGGAGGCACAGAAGCCCCTGTTCTATACAGGAAATCATTCCATGGTGACAGAATGACTGATGTTTTAGACTTTGCTTAATTTTCCTGTTCTTTAATGTTTCTCTTTTTTCCCTCTATTTTTTTTTTAAATTTGCCTTCTGTGTCTGCTTGTTTTTTTATTTATTTTGGTTTTGAGTGCCACACCCAGCAGTGCTCAGGGCTTACTCCTGGCTCTGCACTCAGGGATCACTCCTGGCAGTAATCGGGACTATGTGGGGTTCCCAAGATTGAACCTGGGCAAGTGGCTTACTCACTGTGCTCTCTGTCCAGCCCCTCCTCTAGTATTTAAAAATATCTGTTCTAGTGATACCTTATTTAAAACTGGACTTAATGAATTAGATCTTGATGGCTTTTAGAGTCAGAATAAATTTGGCTTCTTAGCTGGTATGAAAATTTTAAATAATCATGAATCACTAATTTGAGTGTGATAACAATGAAAATACCATCCTGAAAATTATATAGGTCAAAATGTAACACACTTTTTTAATTTTTTTTTTTTTTTGGGTCATACTCAGTGGTGCTCAGGGCTTACACCTGACCTGGGATTGAATCTGGAACATGTGCAAGGTAAATGCTCTCCCACTGTACTAGCTCTCCAGCCCCCTGGAATGCCACCTTTTCATCAAAGAAAAATGCTTTTATATGTAAATTAAAAGTAAATTTTATATTTCTAAAATTTTTGATTTCTAACTTAAGGAACAGAGAATTTGTATATATGTGGAGATATTTGTTTTTATAAGGTAATATTTATCCTGGTAAGGACTTCTCTCTTGGGGCTGGAGTGATAGCACAGCGGGTAAGGCGTTTGCCTTGCATGCGGCCCAACCTGGGTTCAATCCCCAGCATCCCCCCTGAGCACGGCCAGGAGTAGTTCCTGACTGCATGAACCAGGAGTAACCCCTGAGCATCTCCGGGTGTGACCCAAAAAGCAAAAAAAAAAAAAAGACTTCTCTCTTTTTTTAAGTTTCACAACTGAAACTTTAAAATTCAGTTTTTGGGGCTTCAGGCTCTGATCTTGGGGGACTATTCACTGCCAGGGATTGAACCAGGGTTGGCCATATGCAAGAAGGAACTCCTGTACTATCTCTCTGGCTCCTGCAACTGAAATTTTAAGGTCACTTTTAAATACACTTAGGAACGTTAAATGAGTATTTACTAAGCAGTAGATTTTGAAATATTTTTTTATTTTGGTAATACAAAATTTTAATTATGAAAACTGGAATAATAAAGAACTCAAAATGCCTTTACTGAAGACACATGTTCGTAATTCTACACTGGAACCTCTTATAACCATTTTTGGACTTAAATTATGGCTTTGAAAAAGCTGAGTAATGACAATATCATTATAAAATAAAGTGCCAAATGTCTAACTGAAGATCTTTCAGTTAACAGAAAAGCATTCTAAACTAGAAAAAAAACCTTTAAATTTCAACTTTAATACAATCTCTCTCTCTCTCTCTCTCTCTCTCTCTCTCTCTCTCTCTCATCTCATCTCATTTCTTGTGGTGCTCTGGGAACCATGCAGTACCAGGATCAATATAGGCCTCCTACATACAAATTCCATTCCGGCTGGAGCGATGATAGCACAGCGGTAGGGCGTTTGCCTTACACGCGGCCAACATGGCCGACCCGAGTTCGATTCCTCCGCCCCTCTCAGAGAGCCCGGCAAACTACCGAGAGTATTCGATATGCCAGACACAGTAACAACAAAGTCTCCAATGGAGACGTTACTGGGCCCGCTCAAGCAAATCAACGATCAACGGGAGGGCCTTTACCTTTACCTTTTACCTAAAATAGGAAAGTACTTGGAATCAAACATATCTTGCTTTTCAAGTCAAATAACTGAATAATTACTTTAAGATCTGATGCCATAATTTCTCAAAAATTGCAACAAATCAATCTGTATAACATTCTGCTTTTTTCTGTCTTCCACTGTGATTTTTTTCCAATTGAAAAATTTTTATTGTAGTTAAGAGTGATAGTACAATTAAATGTCATGAATTCTTGTGAACAACTTTATAAAAATAAAATTTAGAAGGAAAAAATGAGTGATAGTACAGCAGATAGTATGCTTGCCTTGAACACAGCCAAACTGGATTTGATTCCCAATAACCAAATATGATCCCCTGCAGCACAACATCTGGTGCCTGAACTCTACTAGGCCCTATCCTTGAGTCCAGAGCCAGGAGTAAGCTCTAAGCAATGCTGGATGTGGCCCAACTCCCTCAAGTTAGGTTTTGGTTTTGAGGGGCCAAAAGATAGTCTGGAGGTTCAGGCACTTGCCTTCTATGTGGTTGACCCTGATTTAGTCCCTCACACCATAGATGGCCTCCTAATCCCCAGCAGGAGGGGCTCCTGAGGACTGCCAAACATGGCCCCTCGCCCAAAATTCGGGTTTGAAAGCCACGTCCTCTGGTGCCCAGTACCACTCCCTACTCAGTATTTGCTTCTTGAGGGATCATTCAGTGCATAGATGGAATCAGGGTCTCCAACATACAAAGTATGTGCTTCAGCCCCTAGAACCATCTCCCTGGATCCCTCCTTTGCAATTTTATAACAAATCAAGATGATTTTGGGGTGACAGGTGAATAAACTCAAATTTTCATTCTGCTTCCAACTATTCAAGGCTAATAACTTTTAGGAACCAGTTTTATACCACCCTTATATTTTTAAATTAAAGTAAGTGCCTTGATAGCTATTCCACAGAATTGTGAGATGAGGGTGTTTGATCATTGCAGTGCATAGACAGAAGGGGAGATGGTTAATAGCTGATCCTTTTCTGCTGGAAGGATATGTTCATTGTGTTTATTACATAAGATCCTTTCACTTGAGATCTAGAAGTGCATTTCATTTGTGGGCTAATAAATTGTTATACTAATAAAGTATTACTCTGTGTCTAAATTATTTACGTCTAAGTGCAATTCAGAGAAACGTACCAGTTACCAGTGTGTTTTTAAAATACTCTTTACATTTGGTGTGTTTCATTGTTACTATTTTTCCCCAACTATAACTTATTTTTATCGAATGCCACAAAATATAAGGAAACTAAGACCACAGAGATGGTACACAGGTAGGGCACTTCCCTTGCCTGCGTGGCAGCCCATGTTCAGTCCCCGGCATTCCTTCCATATGGTTCCCTGACCCCTGCAGGGAGTGATCTTGAGTTTAGAGCCAGGAGTAATCCCTGAGCACCACAGGATGTGGCCCCCCACCAGATCACCCAATCTATGTGCATATGAAAACACAGCTCCTTTTTACTTTGTTGCTTTCAGCAAATCAACCTTGTAGAGGACCCAGAGAAGAGACCAGCCAGTTTGCCTTAGGGCCCTTTCCCTTCTCATCACATGAGACCCCAATACTTGGGAAATCCCAACATCTCAAATTCAGCCCCTGGTTTTGCATGCCCTACTCTGAATTTGGATCAATGAATTTTGAAATATTTTCCCCATCAGTAAACGGAGACTAGCTCCTGATAACCCTAAGTGAGAGAACCGGGTGTGAAGCAAAGGCTGTGTAAGGAGGGACCTGTACCGCCAAAGTACTCCCCGCCCTGTCCCCACCTTGAAGCTGCTCCTGGAATGTGGCCCCTTCTGTCCCACACTGTGTGGAGGGTTAAGGAACTGCACGGTTCACGCCGGCGCCTTGTGGTTCCATCATCCTGGATAGTCACCCCACGGAATGAGGCACAGCCTAACTAGCAGGTGGAGCTAGGGCCTTGTGAAACAGCCTCACCTTATCTGAAAGGTTCTTTGGGGTGGGAAGTGTTTCTAAATAGTATCTCCTTCAACCCTGCACTGCTGACACAGAATCCCTTCGAGCACATTCCTTGGAGTACTTGGTTACCTCCAATGATGCAGAGCTCAGCACTGCCACCCAGCAGATCCTGGCTGGTGTCACAGACTACCCCGTCCCACCTGTTCTCCTGACTGGAAGGTGGTTCTCAGTGCTTCTCAGTGCATCTCTTCTGCCCCCTCGTCCCCGTTCCGGGGTGCACCCAACAGTCACCTGGGGCCCCCTGCCCGCACCCTTCCCCTTGGCTACCCAGGGCTGGGCCTCTGGGCCTCTCCGGGGCTCCTGCTCCTGTTCCCACCTAGCTTTCTGCAGCCCCGCTTCTAGTGGTTGGGGTACATATTGGGGGACCTACAGTGGGGGACCCGCCTGCATTCCCTTGGGGCAGAAGCATGTTGTTACTTACTGTTGCTTGTTTGGGATGTGGCGACTGGAGGCCCAGGCTCCTTATCTGCATGCAACACCTGGGCACAGAACTACCTTTTCCTGAGTACTTGAGAATTTCCTGCTCAGCCTGGAGGGGTGGGGGAGGGGGCAGGAAGCCTTGAATAGTGGGAGGATTCCCCACTTTTCTCATGCAGCACCACTACTCAAGTTTACATTTTCAGATCCAGTGGAGACTGATGATGCAAGCGTGACTCTTCCTGGAGAAATGTTTCACACGTGCTTTTACAGACACGCGATTCTGAAACGTTGATCCCTGGACCCATCATGAGCATTCTGTGTTATTATCCCTTCAAATGGTGATCATAGCCACCCCCTGGGTTTCCGCCTGATCTAGAACACCAGCAGCATAGCATTCTTTATATAAATTGCCAGCGCTGAGGTTGTTGGAAAGCTCTGTCGGGATCCCATGTGCCCCAAACTCATCATTTCTCCCTTGTTAACCTGTCTTAACCATGGTGAGACCCAACTGCTCAAGCCCAAATCCTGGGAAATTCTAGAATTTTCCTCTTCAATTCACACACCAAATCCATTACCTAGAAAGAGTAAATTCGACCTTCTTCTTTCGGGAACGGCGGTACTGGGCAGCGCGGATGGGGGTGGGGCTGCTCACAGGACCATGCGGTACAACAGCGCCTCCCCCAGGTGAAGCGTGCGCACGGCCCTTTGAGGCATCTTCCGGTCTCGAGACTCTTGCTTTCAGTGTTCAATGTCTCTCTCCAAAACTAGGTCACAGGCCTAATGGACTTATGACTTGATAGGTCCCATTACAACCCAGCCACCACGTTAATATTTTATTTATTAAAATATATGATTACTGATACTTGTAAGAATATTTAGTACTGTAGCTTGTAACTGGTTCTTTAGCGTTTTCAGGATAAGTTTAATTTGATGGTGGGCCATGGGGGGCACACCCAGCAGTATTTGGGGGCTGCTCCTGACTCTAAGTTAGGGGGTGGCTCCTGAAGGTGCTTATGGGACCGTGCGGTGCCAGAGATCAAACCTTTGCCTCCTACAAGCAGTAGAATATTCTCTCTCTCTCTCTCTCTCTCTCTCTCTCTCTCTCTCTCTCTCTCTCTCTCTCTCTCTCTCCCCACTCCCCCTCTCTCATCACCAAGAATAATTCCTGAGTGCAGAGCCAAAAGTAACCCCAAGTTTCACTGGATGTGGCCCCAAAACAAAGAAAACAAGTTCAGTCTATTGTTATCGCAAGTATAGACATGTTCATCACTGGTTACTTCTCCAACACTGGCTCGCTTGCAGAGCATAGCAGGACCAATTACACGGCCTGTGGTTATGTAAAGGGTGGGAAATTCTCCAGTGTAGATTAAAGGGTTTGAGGCACAATGATTCCTAAGGTAGTTGTTTGAACAAGCCCTACACTGTATGTTTCTAACGTCCACACCCTCAATATCTGCCTTGTCAGACACTTTACAAACAGCTGCTCAAAGGTTTCTTCAGATGGCTAAATTGGCTCATTACATAGTCTGCCTTTGCCCTCTGGTGGTCAGAAGATGCCACCAACCTTGCACTTCAAAGCGGAAGACCAGGAGGAGCCTCCTGCTTAAATGGATCTGCAACTTTGAAACTAAATTATCTGAGCCTATTTTTTTCCACTGTAGTAAGACTTAGAGGAAATAGGAATTGAAATAGTGTTTGACCTACAACAAGTCATTGTAACTCAGGTTTCTTTTTTTATTTTTGTTTGTTTTTTGCTTTTTGGGTCACACCTGGCAATCCACAGGGGTTACTCCTGGCTCTGCACTCAGGAATTACTCCTGGCTGTGCTCAGGGGACCATATGGGATGCTGGGAATCGAATCAGAGCCACGTGCAAGGCAAACACCCTACCCACTGTACCATCCTCCAGCCCCAGGTTTCTTTTTTTAATGGGAAAGAAAAACTGAGTTAGGGGCTGGACGAAGAAAAAAAGAAGAAAGGAAGGAGGGAGGGAGGGAGGAAGGCAGGCAGGAGGGCAGGCAGGCTTGAGGGACCAGGACGATAGCACAGTGGGTGGGGT